CAGTTCTGAGCACTACAGTACGGATTCTCGTATTCCTAAATTCAATACTATTCCGATTACGACACCAGGTTTGAACTCAAACGAGTGTTGAAATATGTAATGATATGTATGATGATACTCATCCCGGTTATATTCGCCCTCTGTTGTTCCGCACGATTCTCATCAAAAAGGGTAGTAGGTTAAGAATAAAATAAACTTCAAAGATTGTCCTCAGCCTCAAGATTATGCAGTTACGGATTCTCTCATTTCGACTTAGCCTGTTCCACATCTACTCCTTATCAGATTTCAATACTGTATTCATTCACACAATTGAATGCACGTATGGAGCCTTCCATATGAATTCTATGGAACTTTTGGGGAGAATGACTTGGCCGTGCAAGGTAGAGGTAACCAGTTTGAGAAACGATGCGAAAAGGCTGAGTAACGAACGAAAGTTCTTCCATCGAAGGATACTAGTAACCTACACCAAATTAATTTGCCACGCTTCATGCTGATAGTCATCGTAATCACTGACACGGATAAAGCTATCAGTAATAACAGAACAATAAAATACACTTACTTGAATTATATCAATAAAAGTCAATGGACGGTAAAGCATGGTTTTGCAAACGCCGTAGAGAGCACATAGTAGGATCTGATCCAAGCAGCGATCACGTAACAGTTCCGTTTCGTGAACGATTGCATATTCGACGCATGTCCAAACCTTGGTCAGTATATCTCTTTGCAAATTTAGACGATCACAAAGATCGCGCAAACGAACACTGGCGATTATATACAGCTGACGGAAAAATATTGCCAAAGAGTCGCGACGAGTTGGATAAAACTTCATGACTGTGCTGCTTGAAGTGGACGAGGACCAAGAAACTTGGGTGGAGTTAGCTGCGCCTGTCACACTGGTTGTTGCCACAACGCTCAGACCGTTAGTGCGTTTTGCGACCGTTGAGATGCTATCAGTCAGAGAAACCTCTTCCGTTGGTCCTGGCAGTAGAGCTGAACCAGAATCTGGTTCAATCTCACCGACACCACTGGCCAGCAGTTGCGCTGTGGCCTCAGCAGACTCGTCTTCTACATGCGTCCCAGTCGAAAGGTGCCTTCCGGTCGTTGTGGCAGCAGTATGTTCTCCAGATCGTGAACGAATCAAGGAGCCAGTATTCGTGGACGTGAGGAGACGAGCTTGCTTACTTGGTGACGGACCATGACGAAGGACCATATTCTGAGAACCAACAGATGCTGTGCTCTTCGTATGTTCGGAGTTTAGAATCCCCGATCTAGTGAAGCCGGACTGTAAACGAAACAAGAACAATCCTCACATAAAAATAAGAATGATTTATTAGGAGAGAAAACAGAACTGAAGATGTAGATAAAGTTGACTCAATTTCAAATCTATACAAAATTGAGAATCCCGAGGCACAAGGAACAAAGCCTCCTTGCTCGGTTTTCACGGGTGTTTCGTCGTATGTCAGCAAAAACAAGCATGTTAACGTCCTTATAAGGTAGGCAGGTTTGAGACAACGACCACAAGAGTTTATGTCAAGACTGTAGAGTACTTATGTGGACACAACGCTTTATATGCTGTTCGCGATGTTTTTTTTAACTATAGCAACCAGTATAGATAACCCCACCAAAGGAGCAAGCATTCATTGGGTATTATTATTATAATTATATTTCACACGTCCGATGCACGACTGTACCAAACAAATCATGGTTCAATAATCTTTATAAAAAGAAAGGCGTTCGACGATTTGCATATGGGCTGAATACTGACAGGTTGCCCAGGCCAAGGCAGGTGAATTTTCTTGAGGAATTCACAACCGAAGCCTTCGGTTAGCCAAAGCTTGACTCGCAAGTCAGCGGGGCGGTGTGTAAAAACCAAAATCCATTGAGGACTGGTGCCTCCTTCATTGGATCATACGCCCTTTGAAAGGGGTCAAATGTCCAAGGTGCCCAATACACCTCGATACCCAATCGAGCCGGTAACCACGGCCAAGACCGAGAATGGGTGGGTCACTCAACAAAGAACGTTTTTCAAGAGACACGGGTGACCACCCAACAGTGGTTCGGCGACAAGAGGTCTATCCCTCGATACGGCCGGGATCGGGCTACTTGTTAAGTGGATCGTATTGACATGAGTGTTTCTCCAAGTGCATTCATGGCCTGTGCTGCTTTCAGCGTGGTGGTGGATTGGTTTGCAGAAAAAAGTATCGCATGGTGCGCTTCTGAGTTTAAAGCACCTTCATATAGAGGCCCGGATTGAAAGAAAATAATGTTTGTAAAAAAAAGCAATACTGATTTCGAATATGTTGCCAATTATGAATTCGTCAGACAGCAGCAGCAGTTTTTGTTTCAATTGTGTTAATGATCTTCATTACGGTATATCCACTAAATCTATTGAGTTTAGAATAAAAAGCACTATCCACAGGCTTATTTCACGTCGCTAACAAGAAAGGTATTTGTCAAGAGAACATGATTGATAATTACTTCTGATTCGGGAAAAGTTCACGGTGAAAATGAAATAAGGTGGGTGCGTTGGCAGNCCGAAGCCTTCGGTTAGCCAAAGCTTGACTCGCAAGTCAGCGGGGCGGTGTGTAAAAACCAAAATCCATTGGGGGCCGGTGACACTGCCACAAACAACTTGGTGATAGCCCCGGATATCGGCTATTCGTCCTCTCACTTTGGTGGGAAAACACTCCCGCCACGAGAAGGCAGTGAATAGAGAGAGCTTCCTCAGCAGAGGCTATTTGAGACGCTTAGTCGTATGGGAGCGTTTCGCGAGGTGCGAGGGGAGGGTGACCAACCGCAACTCTAGACATCCACCCCCGACCATACTGAGGTTTTTGGAGGTACGGTCAAACTCACAAACATTTATCCATTCATTTATGCTCCCGGTTCTGTTTTTCTCCATTACTGTCATCAACATCTATTTATTGAGTTCGAAACGTGGTGTCACGAAAATAGTAAACGATAACATGTGGCTCAAATGGCTACAAATTGGATATTGCATTTTCCATTTACTGGTTCACCTGTTACTTCTTCCCCATCTCTTCCCGTGCTAGATACTGCTCGCTGGTCATTCGAAAGAGCCCAGCGCAGCTCTGATTGATTTGATCCAGTCCCACNGTCCCACTGTTCAGTCTCTCCTCTGGACGAAATGCACTCCCAATTGGACGAGTTGGCCACCGAATTCCAACTGTCCTATGTGCGTACCGACTCGGTCCCATCAGGAAATAGCCGATCTGATGAACTCGCTCTGTCTGCAGCGCAACAACGAGTACAGTTAGGTTTTCAGTTATATTATCTGGCCCTAGAAAGTATTCTCGTGGATGAAGTACGTCGCATGGAGAAACGGATGAATACCTGTGCCGGTACTACGAGTATCGTTGATGGGATAGCCACACAAACACGGCGTATTAAGCCAGATCTTAGCGGTCNGCGGTCTGTTGTCTCAGGAGATTTTCCATCGTTCGTTGTTTTCCTGTTGTATGGAGTTGGTGATGATAAGTTGCGACCCGCCCGATCGTCATTTCCCCTGGATCCTGGAGGCACTCAACTTAGAAGCGCTCCATTTTTTCAAGGTGAGCGATTGTGTTCCTAAAACAGAATCAATATACTCATAGAGACCTTCACATAAATTTTGTTAATTTGGTTCTGGCAAATTTCAAGTTCCGTTTGTTATCATGCATTTTCGACAGTTTCACAGTTAGCATTATAAAGGCTTCCTGAAGTTTTGGGTCCATTTTTTATCCATTACATTGCCAAATATTCATTGGTTTTACCCCATGCAGCTGTTTTCTGTTTAATTTATTACAACCATTATTCTGTCTGATGCCGTGGTTTAGTTTGCTGTCTTTCAGACAAATACCGCGACATCATCATCATCATCGTACAGCGAAATACCGTGAAGCGAACTTCACTGACCGCTGCCAAACTCACAATGCGTACAAGGTTAGTTGTAAAATTTAAGGTGGACAGGGGTTGGATCTATTTTGAGGAAGGGAGAAGAAGATGAGCCACTATGGTCAACACACAGAGTACCCAATCGAACTCTGCATACATACCGCAATGAAGCCTGTAGATAAACGTACCGTCTCCCGCCGGTAGGTGGCGTCTGCAAGGTCAGCTCACAAAGAGCCTCAGGAAAGACCGTGAGAACTGGTGGTCCACAACAGCTAGTGAAATGAGTGTAGCAGCTGCATCGGGGAATCATCAGACTGTTACAACTGATACGCAATATGGGAGGTAAAAAATGGGGGAGGAGTAAATGGGTCCCCACTTCGCTTCACCCGCTGCCTTGCGGCTAGGTTCTTGTTAGAACTAAAGGCTTTGGTTGAGAACCCTAATCGTTCTCCTGCTTAGTGGCTGGATACCCTAGCAGTACCCGTCGATCAAACCCCAATGTATGTGCATTGCGAGTTTGGCAACGATCAGTGAAGTTCGCTTCTCTGTATTTCGCTGCGCGATGATGATGGATGATGATGACTGTGCCCCAAGATGCAGTCGCATAGCGATGGGATTTTATACTTCCTACTCGTCGTAATCCACCTTCTATATCAGACAAATCATGCGCTGTTCGTTTTACGAAAATGGTGGATGTACCAGCCCTCGAGTCATGAAGAAGATGGTTGCTTAACTGGATTGTGAACAGTGGGTATCAGAACAGAGTTGGCTGTATTAATGGGCTTCATATTATCCCACATACATCGTCATATCATACCCTATTTAAGAAGTAGACTCAATATATATCGGCTTCGGGAACAAATGTTGCGTCACGCAGCAATAACTAAAATAAAGGTATGGAATAGTGCGTACAGTTGAGTGAAAACTAAGAGAAACGGTTTTCGAAGAACATCAAATTTAAGAACGATAAGGTGTGTCATACCATACCCCCTTTGATGGAGCTAATACTTAAATAGCTGTGCAGATGTAGTTCTAGCTCTTTACGAAAATCCGTTACTCGTTCAGTCAGATGCGTCAACGTATGACAACATTGATTACTTTCTCATATTTGACCGAGTCAAGTTCAAGCATGCGTATTTCAAATTTTTTTTTTCATTTTACTTCCTTTTGTTGAATGTACAATTTTCAGGAAGGGGGAAGCAGCCGATCCAAAGGCTGCCACTGAACACAATGGTAGAAGTCAGGCGGTGGTGGTGCGATTCAAACACATCCCCGGGATGATAATTTGGTGACATTACCACCGGGCCACCACCGCCAAAAATTGCGTAGTCACTGATTTTTACCGACTAACAACAGTCTCAGTGCTCTCAGTTTTATTGTATGCAAATATATGGATGAATCATATAATTGTTGTGCACTATTTTTTCTCCTTTCTCTTCCCACACCTTAGGTTATCGAAGTAGTGGTTCGAAATGTGGATTTACCACGTGACGTCGTCAAGTACATGAACCAGATGGCTGAACTAATTCTGGATTCCTATGCTTGGCGTTCGTTGTCACCTCTGTGGGCCATAATCAAAGCAGCCGGTCGTGCTCCTTCAATTGAAGAGGTAGTGCCACCAGAAAAACTGGAACAGGTTAGAATGATTGCATCCACCACTCGTACATATCACGAACTGTTGATGATGATTATCTGTTGCCGGTTTCTACTTAACGCCTGCTTTTTCTAACTGGATTGGTTTGTTTGGCTAGCAGATCAATTTTTGGTTATCTAACCACAACCACTGCCAACGCACCCA